AAAAAAGAATGCCCAAAAAAGTCTGATAAGGGATATGTATATGTATATATATATGTATATATCCTTTAACTATCATATATATCTGTATATAACCTAGTACTAACTAGAAAAATATCTGTAATACCTGATACTAAATAGAAAATATTTCCCATCATATCTTTTATTTTGTTCTATAAACATAATCTTATTTGTTAAAAATTGAGTAAAACAGGCAACATTATTATATAAGATTGAAAACAGAAAATTGGGGATCAAAAAAGGGACTATAATATCTTTCTGCTCATGTTCAGAGCATCATCAGTCACCAAAGCCAAAATATGTAAGTAAGTGAAGGGTTCGTCAGTGGATACATGCATAAAATAAATGTCACATTTTCTTTCTTATTTTGTCAGTCCTGGGGCTTGAACTCAGGGCCTGGGCACTGTCCCTGAGCTTCTTTTGCTCAAGGATAACACTCTACCACTTGAACCACAGTGCCCCATCCAGTATTTTCTGTGTATGTGGTACTGAGGAATTGAACCCAGGGTTTCCCACATGCTAGGCAAGAGCTCTGCCACTAAGCCACATTCCCAGCCCCACGTCTTCTTTTTTTTTTTTCTTCATATTTAAAATTTTTTTTATTGTGTCCACATCTTCTTTATTTGGAATATTATTCAATTTCAAAAGGAAGGAAATGCTAAGCCTTTAAGACTAATGCCAAGTAAAGAAACCAGTCACAGAAGGGCAAATACTACATATGATTCCATTTCTATGAGGTACCCAAGATGGGTGAAATAATAGAGACAGCAAGTAGAACTGTGGTTGCTGGGGGCTGGAAAAAGAAATGGGGCACATTACTGTGTAATACATGGTTTCAATCTGGGAACATCACAAAAGTTCTGGAAGGGCCAATGGTGATAGGTGCACAATACTGTGAATGTACTTAATGCACAGAATACACTTAGAAATGGTAAATTTTATGGGTTTTTTTGTTTGTTTGTTTTTTGTTAGTCGTGGGGCTTGAACTCTGGGCCTGGACACAGTCCTTGCATTCTTCGGCTCAAGGTAAGCACTCTACCGCTTGAGCCACAGTGCCACTTCCAGTTTTCTGGTGATTGATTGGAGTTAACAGTGTCACAGACTTTCCTGCTGGGGCTGGCTTTGAACTGCGATCCTCAGATCTCAGCCTCCTGAGTAGCTAGGATTCCAGGTGTGAGCCACCAGCACCTGGCTAATTTTTTGTTATATATAAATTTTACTACAAGAAAAAAAATTGTGAAAAAAAGGCCAGTATACTTCCTTCCTTTCTGAGAAAGTAATATGACTGCATACTGAGAAGTCTGATCATATGATGGTAATTCAGCTAATTCCCACATAGAAGCAAACCATCTCCAAACCTTGTTAATCAAAGAGTTGAATTCCATTAGTCTACAGTCCTTTCTCAGGTCATCTTTTGGCTTGCACATCATGATATACAACTTTCCATCTGAACCTTTTATAGAGATTTTCTTTGGTTTCTGAAGAGAAGGAAGAATTTCCACCTAAAAGATGACAAATATCATATTAATTAAAACCAAAACTGCTTAAATATCTGCACACTGAGTTATGTAAAATAAAAATGAAGATAATAGTAAATTTCAAAGGCATTGCTCTCATCATATAAGTGAAGTTTACCGTATCATCGAAGCCTGTAATATAGATCCAATGCCCGGGAAATGCATCATGGTTGGCATGAGCACCCAGAATGGAAGGAAGTGTAGGTATCATGACTGATTGCAAAGGAATGAGGATTTCACTGAATGTCATATCTTCCACCAACTTCTTCAGCATTTTAAAGTGAGTATTCATGCTAAATGTGGAAACACTCACATCAAACTGGAAAACAAAAGTAATACATTCTTACTTCTATGTTTATCTTTGAATTATACAATGCTTAACTTCCACCACAATAAACATTTCATTTTTATGCTACGTTAATTACAAGAGTTTAGCAGTGTGCAGTTTCCTAACTAGTTATAGTCATCTTGCTTTAACCTAGTAGCACTAATGAAACTAACACCACAGGATTGTTTAATGATGAGAGCTGTGGTCAGACATTAGAAAATCCAAAAAGATTTATAAGTCAATTCATTTGGCAGCAAAATGATACTCAAACATGTATTTTTAAATACATGATTTTATGGTTTAATTTTATATATCTTCTACTTAATATTCCTTCTAAGAAACTTAGGTAATAGCCAGGCGCCCATGGCTCACACATGTAATCCTAGCTATTCAGGAGGCTGAGATCTGAGGATTGTGGTTCAAAGCTAGCCAGGGAAGGAAAGTCTGTGAAACTTTATTTTTTCTTTTCTTTATTTATTTTGTGGGTCATGGGGCCTGAATTCTGGGCCTGGGCGCTGTCCTTTAGCTCTTCAGCTCAAGGTGAGTGTTCTACCACTTGAGCCACAGCACCACTTCCGGCTTTTTCTGCTTATGTGGTGCTGAGGAATCAAACTCAGGGCACCTCATGCATGCAAGGCAAGCACTCTACCACTGAGCCACCTTCCCAGACTGTGAGACTCTTATCACCAATAAACCACCAGAATACTGGAAATGGTACTGTGGTTCAAGTGGTAGAGCGCTAGCCTGGAGCTGAAGAGCTGAGGGATGGTGCCCAAGACCAGAGTTCAAGGCCCACAACTGAAAAAAAAAAAGTTTAGGAATAAAATATAGAGTTTTCTATTACTCAAAATTCACACTAAGAATTTTCAGAAAATTTTATGTTATAAATTTTATTTTATTATTTTCTTTTTGGCAGTCCTGGGGCTTGAACTCAGGGCCTAGGCACTGTCCCTGAGCTTATTTTGCTCAAGGCTAGCACTCTACCACTTGAGCCACAGTGCCACTTCCAGCCTTTCTGCTTAAATGGTACTGAGGAATCAAACCCAGGACTTCATGCATGCTAGGCAAGCACTCTACCACTGAGCCACTTCCCAGCACTGTTATAAATTTTAAAAACAGCTTTGTTAACAGTGGATGGAGAGTATGCTCACTAGTAGAGCACTTGCCTAGCTTTCTCAAGTCTGGTTCAATTTCAATACTACCAAAACAAAAAGATAAATCCATACATATTCAAAGTACAAATTTGTGCTGGGTATGCTAGTAGTTCATACCTGTAATCCTAACAGCTCAGTAGGCAGAGATGTAAGGATCCTGCCTGGGCAGGATCTAATTAACCATAAAAAGCTGGAAGTAGAGTTGTGGCTCAAAGGGTAGAGCACTAGCCTTCAGCAAAACAACTCAGGAACAATGCCCAGGTCCCAAGTTCAAGCCCCAATACTGGAACAACAACAACAACAAAAGTACAGGGCTTGGAAGGTGGCTCAGTGGTAGAGTGCTTGCCTTGTATGCATGAGGCCCTGGGTTCGATTCCTCAGCACCACATAAGCAGAAAAAGAAAAAAGCTGGAAGTGGCGCTGTGGCTCAAGTGGTAGAGCGCTAGCCTTGAGCTGAAGAGCTGAGGGACAGCGCCCAGGCCCAGAGTTCAGGCCCTATGACTGAAAAAAAAAAAAAAACAACAACAAAAGTACACACTTGATACGTTTTTTGACATGTATATATGATTGAGTATGTGTGTGCGTGTGCACGTATGCTAGTACTAGTGTTTGAACTCACGGCCTAGGCACTGTCTTTAGCTTTTTCACTCAAAGCTATTTGAGTCACATTTAAGCCACACCTCCATCTCTGGATTTTTGCTAGTTAATTGGAGATAAGAGTCTCAGGGACTTTCCTGACCTCGATCCTCAGATCTCAGCCTTCTGAGTAGTAAGGATGAGAAGCGTGAGCCAATCAGTGCCCAGCTCACATATCTGTATATGTTAGAAACTTATTTAGTCAAGTGGAAGAAGATCAGCTCAAATCACATTTGTATTTTATATAAATGATTGAACAGCTATCTATAAACAATAAGATCTGTGAAAGTACCGGTCTGTTGCACAATTCCAGAAGCTTGTCTGTCAGGCGAGTTGAATCTCCAACAAACTTTTCTAATGACTTTTTCATATTGATAGCTTTGTTTAAAATTTCCTTGCATCTGTTCACACGCATGGGATAAGAAGACTGTCATAAAAAAAGAGTTAAATAAAATCATATATTAGATTTTAAATAGGTAAGAAAACTTGCGACTGACAAAAAACAACTTAAAAAATACTAGTGGCTCACGCCTATCATCCTAGGTGGCTGAGATCTGAGGACTGCAGTTCAAAGCCAGCCCAGGCAGGAAAGTCTATGAGACTCATCTCCAACTCATTTCCAAAAGCCAGAAGTTGAGCTATGACTCAAGTGGTAGAGTGCTGGCTTTGAGGCAGTGCCCAGGCCCTCAGTTCAAGCCCTAGGACCAGCACACACACACACACAAAAAGCTCACGATGTGAGTTTATACTGATAGAAATACAATGAGGCAATGCCATCAAAAGCCATAAAAATGTTTTTTACCTCATAACCCAGTAAAAACTCTTCTTGAGAACTATATGAAAGGAAAGCAAGTATAGAAAAGTAAAGAAAAGAAAGAATCTTTTTTTTTTTTTTTTGTTCTTGGCTGTGGGGCTTGAACACAGGGACAGGCCGTATCCCTGAGCTTTTCTGCTCAAGGCTAGTCTCATATCATTTTTGAGCCAGAGTTCTACTTCTGGTTTTCTGGTGGTTAATTAGATAAGAATCTCACAAGACTTCCCTGACTAGGTAGCTTTGAACTGCAACCCTCAGATCTGAGCTTCCTGAGTAGCTAGGATTATAGGTATAAGCCACCAGCACCTGGCTAAAATCATCTTAATGATAAGCTATTTATCTAAAGTATAGAAAGCCATTTAAAACTTCTATTCAGTTACAGAAAAATGTTTTAAAAGAATATGTAAAGATACCAATATATTCAATTCTTAACTATTTATTTAATATTTAAGTGAAAAATAGGAAAATATGCCATGTAACTTCTAGTGTTAAAATATGCTTAGAAATATACATAACAGAGGCTGGGAAGGTGGCTCAGTGGTAGAGCGCTTGCCTTGCATGCCTGAGGCCCTGGGTTTGATTCCTCAGCACCACATAAGCAAAAAAGAAAAAGCTGGAAGTGGCGCTGTGGCTCAAGTGGTAGAGCGCTAGCCTTGAGCTGAAGAGCTGAGGGATAGCGCCCAGGCCGAGAGTTCAGGCCCCACGACCGGACTCAAAAAAAAAAATATATATATACATACATATAAAATTACAACAAAATATTAATCAATGGCATCATTCATTTTCATTTTTACCTCTATGCAAATCCAAAATCCCCAAAACATTTCTTTATTAAATATTTTCATCACCTTAAACATGCCCATTTAAAATACTTCAATGAAGTGTTGTTTTTAGTATATAGTCCAAGCACTTTGGATTAAAGTACTTGAATAAAAAAGGGTTACCATTATAGTTTATTAGACTTCATAAAGAAAATATACTGAATTCTTTAATTTTAAGCATGTCATTTCATATGGTAAATATCTCCAAATATCTCAGTGAAGCATAGAAGGTTATGTATAGGCTAATTACAGTATGCCATAACCTCTCTTTTTAGGCTGTATTTAAAACAACAAACCTAATATTCAGTCCAGAACCCTATTAGCCACAGAAAATAGAAGACACTGAGGTGACTGAGATTACCTTTGACACAGCTGTTATCAGCCACATTGCTTGCTGAGGATAGGACAAGAAAACTTTGGCTATTATTTCCATCAAGACAACAAAGACTTCATTTGAAGAATGACAGATTCGAGAGATCAATTGTGAAAAGGCAGTCAAAAATTGATAGGGAGGTAGCTGATTCTTGTGTTCTGTGATAACCTTATTCATTTTAGTCAAGTCATTTTTCATTTGTATGCGATCAGCTCGGCTACCTAGGAAAAAAATTCAGTTGAAAGGACCAAAAAGAAAAAGAAGTGTTATCCGTTTACTTCACATTAAAAAATTATTTCAAAAACCCTTTAAAAACACATTATTTCCAACCTGTGAAATGGTTAATTCTGACTGAGTAGGAAAAACATGTAGGGCCAAGAGCTATTAGTTTTTACTACTCATGGTAATTTCTGAGTAAATTATTCATTTGAAAGGTGATGTATTTGCTTATGTGTTGAGTTTATCAAGAAATGGTTAGAATTTCATAGGTAAGCCATAAATTGCAGCTAGTTTGAAAGTCTGTGATGTATCTTTCCCTTCCTTCTCCCAATTATTGCACTTTAACAATACTTAAATGATCACATTAGTTCTTAACTTTTCGTAAATTAGATGGTCAAGGCAAATGTAACTTTGTACCAAAGTTATATATTTTTTTTAAGTTATAATTCTTTATACCAAAGTTAAAATTCTGGTTCCTTGGGAAGTAATACCTTTTTCACACTCGTATGCTTTAGCACCAAAATCAAGCCATAGTGATAACATTCGGGGCATTGACTGATAAATGAATTGATTTCCATACTGTAAAGATCTGAAATTATATAGATAAGGAAGATTATTAACACAGGGCTCTTTTTTAGGTTATGTGAACTAAAAGGACTTAAAGTACCACTCACATTACATACAGCCTTCTGACAAATTGGGCTTTCTTCCTAATAGAGGTTATTTTTGACTCCTGCCTCCTTTTTTTCTTACTAATTCACCACTTAGCTTTGTACTGTGTGAGTCAAAAATGATACAAGTTCTGAGTTAATGGGGCTTCTGCCAATACTTCTTTTAACTTGTCCTTACAATCTGTACCTTTGTTTGCATTCTACCGCCTATAAGTCTTGGTCAGGCCCAATCATTCCATTTTCTGGAAAATCACAACCCCACACTTCTTCCCTTCAATAAATTCTGGACTGATTCCAGAAATTCTGGTTTTATCATGCTCTGCTTAATTAAAAAATATGAATTAATAGCCTATAGATTAAGAATATATGACCGGGTGCTGGTGGCTCATGCCTGTAATCCTAGCTACTCAAGTGGCTGTGATTTGAAGATCATGGTTTGAAGCCAGCCCAAGCAGGGAAGTCTGTGAGATTCTCATCTTCAATTAACCACCAAAAAAGTCATTAGTGAAGGTGTGGCTCAAGTGGTATAGTGCCAGTCTTAAGGGAAAAAAGCTAAGGGACAAGGCCCAGGCTCTGAGTTCAATCCTCAATATGGTATCACCCATCCCCAACTTGCCCCCCCAAAAAATCCCACAAGATTATATGAATGGTGAACGACAGTTCTTGGGATTCAAATATTCATAATCCCTTATCTCTGGAATTTTCCAGTCTTACTATTCGTCAGTTTAGGTTGGTCATCAGGTCTAATTTCTAACCATCCTATGAACAAACCCCTCAATGCTGGTTACTGGCAAACCTGCAAAAACAATAAAGTTGTCTCCTTACTGAAAAAGAAAGGTTTTGAAGTATGGTGATCACCTTATTTAAGAAAAAAATTTGGAGCCGGGCGCTGGTGGCTCACACCTGTAATCCTAGCTACTCAGGAGGCTGAGATCTGAGGATCGCGGTTCAAAGCCAGCCCGGGCAGGAAAGACCGTGAGACTCCTATCTCCAATAAACCACCAGAAAACCGGAAGTGGCGCTGTAGCTCAAGTGGTAGAGCGCTCGCCTTGAGCTGAAGAGCTGAGGGACAGCACCCAGGCCCAGAGTTCAAGCCCCACAACCGACCAAAAAAAAAAAAAAAAAAAAAAAATTGGAGGGCTGGGAAGGTGGCTCAGTGGTAGAGTGCTTGCCTTGCATGCATGAGGCCCTGAGTTCAATTTCTCAGCACCACATAAGCAGAAAAAGAAAAAAAAAGCAGTAAGTGACACTGTGGCTCAAGTGGTAGAGCGCTAGCCTTGAGCTGAAGAGCTGTGGGACAGCGCCCAGGCCCAGAGTTCAGGCCCCACAACCGGACCACCCCCCCAAAAAAAATAATTTTTTTTTTGGTGCCAATCTTAAGGCTTGAACTTAGGGACTGGGCACTATTCCTGAGCTTTTTTGCTCAAGACTAGCTCTCTACCACTTGAGCCACAGCTCTACGTCTGGCTTTTTGATGGTTAGAGATCAGTCTTACAGACTTTCCTGCCCAGGGACTGACTTTGAACCACTATCTCCAGATCATAGCCCTCTGAGTAGTTAGGATTACAAGGATAAGCCACCAGTACCCAGATTTTATTCAGACTTTTTATTGTGGTAAAATAAGCATAGCATAAAAATATCCTCCCTTACCACGTTTAAGCAGAAGCCTGGCTGTGTATTCCCACTGCTCTCCATGCGCACCATCATGCCAGCATCCATCCACCCGTGGAATTCTACACCACCATCCCATCTAGAAGCTCAGCATCCACCCACTCTCCATCCCCATACCATGCCCCTGTGCTAACGATTATCATTCCACCTCAGGTCTGTCCAAAGCTCAGAACTTCTGGATTTGTCTGTTTCACTTCTGCTGCCTTGATTTTATCAGGAAGATCTTTCTGATATTTATATGTGCTTCCACATTCTGTTATGAACTATTATTAAAATGTTTTACGTATATACAGATGCTGTGTAGCTCCTTGAGGGAAAACACGGATACTTAATCAGTAATAATATAGTTAGTCAAGATAACTTCAGTCACTTAAATACATGTTAAAAGCTAATATCTACTTCTGTAAGCATGCAAACATTTTACTATAACTACTATAGATAGAAATAGATTCTGACGAGGCTGAGTATGGTGGTATATATTTGTAATGCCAGCACTTACAAGGTTAAGGCAGAAGGACTGAGGCCAGCCTGGCTAGCATAGCAAGACTCTGACTCAAAAGAAAGAAAAAGGAAAAAGAAAATAATAAAAAAAAAAGAAGAAATAGGTTCCAAAATGGCCTTACTCCCTTCAAGAGGATTCAAAAACCTTTTCCTACAACTAAGAGTTTTAATGCATATAAGGACTTTAAATAGTTACTTTAAGTAGTTTAAATAGGGTTTTAAATACTTAAGAAGAAACATTAAATGCATTCCATATCAAGGCATAGGATGCATACTAAGACTAAAGAGCAAATGACAAGGGCTGGGAAGGTGGCTCAGTGGTAGAGTGCTTGCCTTGCATGCATGAGGCCCTGGGTTCGCACCACATAAGCAGAAAAAGCCAGAAGTAGTGCTGTGGCTCAAGTGGTAGAGCGCTTGCCTTGAGCTGAAGAGCTGAGGGACAGCGCCCAGGCCCAGAGTTCAAGCCGCACAACTGGACCCTCCCCCCCCCAAAAAAAGAGTAAATGACAAGATCAGCTGTTGGGTGTGTACTCTGAAAGCATGTAGTGTTACAGTGTTGTGTCTAGCATGTGTGATCTACAACACCACAGAAAAACAAAAACAAAAACAACCCACAGTCCCAGAAACCATCTTGTCTATGTGAATAAAGCGGCACCAATACTCTGTTATACTCACTTTCCAAAGTGAATGACTATGTAACGGATGAGGTCGCCTTGCTTCTCCATTTTGTTGTCTGTTACCATGGGCATCAGTTTGTCATAGTACTTGGCAAGGTAAAAATGCCCAACTTCCCACTCTGGGAGGAACAAGGTCACATCCTATGGAAGAGAACACTGGTCATTCATGAGGAGAACCTCACACTATGAACTAACGTTGAATTTTCATTTCCTTCCAATATGTGCATGTGAAAATGTCAACTCCCTTTGGAACGACCTCAGCTATACCCACAGGTTTGGCTATGACATAATTACCATTTAGCTCAAAGTATTTTAAAATTTCCACTGTAGTTTTTCATTGATCCAGGAGTCAGGGGTTTATTTTATTTATTTCTTGGTGCTGGCATTGGCACTTCAACACAGGGTCTAAGTACTGTTCCTGAGCTTTTGTGCTCAAAACTAGCACTCTCCCACTTGACCTACAACTCCACTGCCAGCATTTTGTGGTTAACTGGAGATTAAAACCTTAACCAACTTCCCTGGCTTTGAACCATGATCCTGAGATCTCAGCCTCCTGATTATTTAGAATTACAGGTGTGAGCCACTGGTGCCTGGCTGTCCATAGGTTTATTTTTATTTTTTGGGTTGTGGGGCTTGCACTCGGGGCCTGGGTGCCAACCCTCAGCTTTTGTGCTCAAGGCTAGAGGTACCACCTTGAGCCATGGTTCCACTTCTGGTTTTCTGGTAAGGGTTAACTGGAGGTAAGAGTCTCATAAGGCTTTGCTGCCCAGGTTGGCTAACCTTGATCCCAGTTATCAGCCTCCTGAGTAATTAGGATTATAGGTGTGAGACACTAGCAACTGGCTTGAGAGGTTTATTTTTTTATTTTTATTATTTTATTTTTGTTTTATTTTGTGGGACTCGAACTCTGGGCCTGGGCGCTGTCCCTCAGCTCTTCAGCTCAAGGCAAGTGCTATACCAATTAAGCCACAGCACCACTTCCAGTTTTCTGGTGGTTTATTGGAGATAAGAGTCTCACGGACTTTCCTGCCGGGCTGGCTTTGAACCGTGATCCTCAGATCTCAGCTTCCTGAGCAGCTAGGATGATAGGCGTGAGCCACCAGCGCCCGGCTCTTCATTGTTTTTGAACTACATTATAGCTGTCTTGGCACCCTGTGCCCTCTCCCAACTACACCCCCCCTTGACAAAGTCCAGCATGAGAGGTTTATTTTTTATGACACCATCTTATAATATCTACTAAGGAAGTTACATAAGTTTAACTTTGGAGTAGGTGGGAGGAGCAGGGGATGCACCCTATTTCAGGATGGTAAGTGGTCTCACTAGAGTTTACCTTGTGGTGATTCCTTATAGTTAGAGTCTAATCTCACTGAAGAGCCAGTTTCCTATTATACATGTACTTTTTAAAAATATACTTGCCTTGTATTTTTTCATAACTGCATTGCTCTCAAAGTTAGCTGTTTCTTCCATAAATCGGCCCACAAGTAGGGTAGCTCGACCAAGAATCAACATGTCCTTACTCTCAGTTTGGGATTTATCTTCAGGAAAACATAAATCAACACCTTTTTGAAGAACAATAAGTGCCTGATGAACATCTCCCTAAGAGAAAAAAGACAGCAAGCCTTTTAATTGAAGAATATATTTGTTTTCTGAAAAACAAAATTATTCAAAGTTCATTAAATGTTTAAGTACAAATCCACCAGTAATTTCATATTTATTTCTCATTTCCCTCCTAATAAAAAAAATTCTAAAAGGGAAGTACTAATTTGTTTCAGGTAGAAATCTTTTATTTACTCATTCATTCATTTACTCATCTGAAGTTTTATGTAGATGGCATGGAGTCACAATCACAGGTAAACTGAAATCTCTAGCGTGAAACAGTCATAACCAGCTGGGTGTGGTTGGTATACGCCCCAGGAGTTGGAGATAGGAGGATTGAAAGTTCCAAGACAGCCTGGACTACACAGTGAGAGTGTCAAGAAGAAAGAGAAAGAGAGAAAGGAAGGAAGGAAGAAAGAAAGAGAGGGAAAGAGAGGGAGAGGGAGGGAAGGAAGGAGAGAAAAGAAATGGAAAAAATAAAGGAAGAAAGAAAAAGAAAAGAGAAAGAAAGATGGAGAATAGAAAGTAAAAAGGAAAAGAAAAAGAAAGAAAAAAAAGGAAAAAGAAAAGAGGGCTGGGAAGGTGGCTCAGTGGTAGAATGCTTGCCTAGCATGAATGAACCCCTGGGTTCAAATTCTCAGTACCACAAACACAAAAAAAGTCAGAAATGGAGTTGTTGCTCAAGGGTAGAGTGCCAGCCAGCCTTGAGCAAAAGAAGCAAAAAAAAAAAAA